GATTTGCCTCCGCACTTATGTCGGCGCGGATAAGGGCATCGCGGTTTTGTGGTGGAACCGTTTTATTTGTCTATTTGCAGATTACTACTTAATAATAGGCACATATATTACTTATTTTCCAGATCACAGTAAAACCATAATGGAATGTTTTGCTGGAAAAGGATGCTATTAGAAGTCTGTAACTAAAAGGTGCTTTTTCAAGAGGTAACTGGACTTTCTGGTTTTCTTTGAAGATGTTTCATTTCTCATCCAAGAAGCTTCTTTTTTGAGAGCTGAAGAAGCTTCTTGGATGAGAAACAAAATGTCTTCAGAGAAAACACAGAAAGTCCAGTTGCCCCTTTGGCACCTTTGGGACAATCATGACCTGGATGACTGAGAATCTCCATAGACATAGATGATCTATGATATTTAGAAGTCTGTAAATTCTATAATTAGCCACCCCATTATTTCTATTTGTACGTATTAATATGGACATTTAAAATTTTTATTCAGTTCAGTAAAGGGAAAAACTCTGCATGTATTTTTTTCCATCTTCAGTTGAAAAGAACAGAACTTCACACAGCCCACCTACTATTGGAGATAATGTGTCAAGAAAAAGAAAAACAGAAATGTAATCTTAAGCAACTATCTGAAGGCATGTACGTACCTTTATATAATCAGCAAGGTTTTGGTATTCAATATAATTGCCACCTCCAACTACAAATACAATTGCCTAAGATTCAAAGGAAAAAAAAACATTTACCATAGGCATTAGTACACCCTAGAAAAACTACTAGCCTAATGGAAGAAAGGACTTTGATACCTGGTTAAAATGCAGGCTATTAGAGAAGAGATTATTATTTCTTTGGTAGTAACATTAAGGTAGCTTTTCGTAATGGTTATTGTGAATGACCTTGGCAGACAGCAAAGATTGCCCAGAGAGAACAATTGGCATATAAAAGATGTCTCAGCCCAAAGAAGGGGGGATGGCAAGGGAAACATTTCAGAAAGGGACCCTCCCTAATTTTCTGGAGATGAAAAGGAAAGGAGGGAAGAAATACTTTTAGTTTTGCAAGATTTTATTAGTGTAACCTTACAATAAAGATAGAACTAACATACCCTTGGATGTGCTTCTTCTCTGGACTACCCTGCAGGGGTACCCTAACACTTTTGTGAGATAACTTTCAACTATATCGCAAATTGAAAATCTTCTTGATATACTTCATTAAGATATAAAAACCCTCAATGAGCAGCAGACAATGAAAAAATGTTATTTTGGGCTTCAATCTTCAACTTTTGCTAACTTCCCGATTATCTTACTCATGGTTATTATAGCAGAACTTAGTTAAAGTGAAGAGAAAAACTTAAAGCCACAGTTTGAATGTTTTAAGGGGGGGGTGTCATCCACTTATCTGGAAAGTAATGGTGTTATTTTTGGTAATTATTATTTGTACTACTCATTAAGATACTGTATACCTGTTCATAATCACATTTCTGAAGATAAGTGAGTCTTAAGAAAATAAATTTAAGAACAGGGTATTATGTTAAGATTTTGTCATGAAATCTTTACGAATTAAGGAAAGAAAAAGGATTAGAACTTAACTTTTTGAAGTTAGAAGGATTATACATTTTTAGGTAACTAATAAAACTTTAATCAACTAATAATTTCAAATAATGGGATTTGATTTTTCTCTTAAAAATAACTAATAGTTATTACATTTTATCCTTGTAAGCCACCTGGAGTTGGCCGCTGGGAGTGAGTTGGGTGGTCATATAAATTTTCTTAAATAAACACTTAAAGCCAATTTTGTGGGAAAAAAAAGTGTGAAAAAAACTTGTGTGAAAAAACATGAACAAATCTTACCTCCTGAAATGGATTTTTGTTTCGTGGAACTGAGCTGTAATTTAAACCAAATCAAACAAGGCATTTATAAACAAAAATGAAAAATAACCTGAATTATACTAAGCGTAAAATATCCAATTCCCCAAAGATTCCTATTACGCCCAACTTTAAAAATATAATTCTAATAATTAATTAATAGAAAGCTGAAATTCTGCAAAGGAAACTACTAGCATTCAACATCATATAGACATCACACTGGAATGACAGACAACATCCTAAGCCCCTTTTTTGTTGGTAAACGCCAATTTGTTGACTGCACATGTCTTAGTATGCATACCGCATTCCAAATGTGCTACCCCTCCCCAATAGATTATTTACTCCAGTTTTACCGGACAAATTTTCTATCCATTCTTCTTCTGTTTCTTCCTTTATGTCCCTTTCTAAATATATACTAAGTTTAAATTAACTGCTCTTAGTCTAGTTCTCTCACATTAAAATTAGGTAATTTCTTAGATTAGTTTTTTAGAGGGTGCCTTTGAGTCAATCAAGTCTATTTGTAGTCACTGCCTGAACAAGTTTGTGCAATTTCTTTGGTAGCGTTTTTGGATGTGATTTGCCATTGCTTGCTAGAGCTGAGAGAGAATGACTGGCCCAGCAGGCTTTCTGCCTGTACAGGTAGTCCTTGACTTACAACCACAATTGAGCCCAACATTTCTGTAGCAAACTGAGATATTTGTGAATTTTGCCCCATTTTACATCCTTTCTTGCTACACATGTTAAGTGAATCACTGCAGTTGTCAGGTTAGTAACACGACTCTTAAGTGAATCTGATTTTCGCATTGACTTTGCTTGTCAGAAGGTAATTAAAAAGTGATCACATGACTTTGCCACACTGCAACTGTCATAAATATGAGCAAGTTGCCAAACGTCTGGATTTTGATCATATGATCTTGGGGATGCTGTGTGAAAAATGGTTGCAAATCACTTTTTCATTGCCACTGTTAACTTTAAATGGTTACTAAATGAACTGTTGTAAGTTGAGGACTACCTGTAGTATATTTCAGAGTCGGTTTTTTTTTGGGGGGATATTTAGCAAACTGTTCAAGAAGAGTGTAACTAAAAGAACAAATAAGTAAATTAGGTAAAATATGCCTAAACAATAGATATTCAAATATTTCATAAAAACTGAGAAATGGAATATCACATTTTAATGTATTGCATATTTTTACATAAATTAATGTCTGCACATTGCCATTTTTCAAACTTTACGTAACTTTGTAACAAACTCACCTGTCACTACCTCGCAACATTTTAGGGTCAAAATACCTATAGTCATCTGTCTCCTATTAAAAGAGAAAATTGGTTGGAACACATTTTCATTATTTTATTTTTAATTTCCCAATATATTTACATTTTATTAAAATATTTTGAAAATATTATTCAAAGAACTAAAATATTTATTGCAGCTGCCACTCAAGGTGAGACATGACATTCGTAGTTGCTAAATCAAGACATATTATTTATATTTATTTGAAGTAATATAGATGACTGATAAGGTCCTTTCCAACTCTGTTAATCTGTTTGTCTCTTAATATAAAATGATAAATAGTCCTAGCTTTCAAACTTCATGTTGCTGCATTTCTCCAAAGTACATTTTGTACTCATAATCCATTCTATTTTCAAAATACATTTATAGCTAATGCTCAAATAATACAGCAATCAAAATCTTTCTTCTTTCATTCTATATTTAAAACAAAATGAAATTTGTTTAGAAGATGTGAATACTAGGACACTTTTGGATTTAACTTTGTTATATAAAAATATTTGCTGCTTAAAAAAAAAATCAATTCAATATTGGCACTGATGACTACAAGGCATTTTTCTGCTTCTATGCTCAATAATTTGCAAAGCAAGAAAAAAAAAGAAATAGATCAATTTTGTTTATGGCCTTTTAAGAAGAAAACATTAATTCTACCACATACTATATTTTTAAAAAATTGTAAGGTGCATACAAGCCAAATGATCTTTGGGGGATTCACCTTTGATTTCAAAACCTATATCTATAGTGCACTCTAATAGATTTTATAGATTTTTATAGATTTTATTAATATTTGTAGGCCGCCCTTTTCCCTGAGGGGACTCAGGGCGGCTCACAT